AGTGGAATCAGTGAGGTGGTGATGAAGCTGATTGAAGGTTATCATCTCAGGTACACAGACAGGATGGCAGCCTTTGGCTGAGAGCCCTTGTTCCCATGAAGAGTCAGATAGCTGAAGCAACGAGCAAATTCCAGCTAGAGTAAAGAGGATTCTACCTGAGCAAAGTTCAGATGCTGCTGTGTGGCTGCGCATATCATTCCCGTAGGAAATTAATGCCATACCGTTTACGTAAAACACTGAGCTAGAGAGCCGGTATAGTCAACTAAAATGGAGAGTATCTTGCTATATATTCAGCATTGGGTTGTGGGATTTTAATAGTTCATTAAATTTACATTGCAGTTTTGTGGATGATATAAAAAAATGACTGTGCTCTGAACAGCCCAAGAGCACTAATACGGCCATGGGAGAATGAGCTGAAATCTGCTCTGGCTCATTCGTTATCAAGGAAAGTGCTTGCTGTGTTTTAAAGTCTTCAGTACTGAAGCTGATGCAGAGACCAGAAAGGATATATCTGAATTTTCAAACCACATCCTGAACTGACAAAATTGCCTTACGAAGCAAAAAAATGCTTTTCTTGTAGACTGGTCGAAATTGATAAAGTGTCAAAGCAATAAAGCAATAATAAATGTAGCATTCACACTACTGCTTAATTGTTTGCTTTTCAGTATATAATATACTTCAATATATATGTATCTCGGCATATAATATATTTCGACATACTATGCGTGTTACTACAATAACTTTATTCTCTATATCATATTCCTCCAAAATTTTAAATTAAAGGAATATGCTTATGAATGGTAGGAAATGAAGAAAGGCTGTGAAAGGTGAAAAGATATCACTGAAGTGAGGTGATAACAGGAAGCTATGTTCGAATCAGATACGATATCTGACCTGTAATTGGCATAGAAATATCTTGGGTATTAGCAGTGGATGGTCTCCATGGTCTCAGAGGGAGGGAGGTTTATTCATGGCTCCAGAGCTTTTACAACATCTTGATTACTGTTGCCTTCCCTTTTACCTTTAGGGAAGGTCTTTTTTGGGGTTCATTCAGTGCCACTGGTTGTTGTCAGTAAATGTGTTCCCTTTCACCTGCCCATCTCTCTGAGACTTAGGCACGTTTGTTTGCAAGTTGTCTGGCTGAAACTGAGCTCATGTCAAAGAAAGTCCTTTGAGTTGTCTGTCCAGAGCCCTACCCACACCCTGGGGAGAAGATTTCTTATCAGAGATGAGGAGCACAGTTTTGAAAAGAGGGGGCATCCTTTGCTGACAGTTCCAGCCTTGGACTTTGCTCTTAGATGTCACGGCGACGCTGACATTACAAAGCTAGATATTGCACTCTTTTCACCCACCCCAGGCAGTTCCCAACTTCCTGTGTCCTTTCACTCTTCTCCTTAAATACGTGTTTCTCAATCATGTAGTGAACATCTTCTTTGTATTTAACCCATCCGTACCAGAAAGAAGAACGTCAGCTGGACCAGTTCCCACAGAAAGATAGTGTTTTGGAAGCCTACGAACAGTCCACAGCAAGTTGTCCATTTCAGTAGTCTCTGTGAGAGTGGAAGCAGGAACCTGAGCAACTTCACTTCTTCGTGGTGACAGCCTCGGCTCCCCTTGGTTACTGCACCCTCTAAATTACAGCTTAGGGGGGAAGGAAAAAGTACATCCCTGAATTGCCAGTACAAAGTCTTTCTTTATGCTTCCCTTCTCCTTTTAACTACCCTGCTGTTTGGTAGTGACTCCTAAAACTCTTTCAAGAGATACTAATGTATAGATGTATTGTTTAAAGATGACTGAATCCCACCCTTAGATCTTCAACTCTTTCTAAATTAAAGCTCTCTCGCCTTTAAAGATGCTATGCAGTATGTTTAAGTCAGGTTATAGATAGTCTAAGAGAATACGGTGCCCTCTGCACTGTGCCTGCAAAGATCTAAGTTTTTCTTTGTAGTTATTTAGGATTTTTTATCCTTTTTTCAGGAAATGAATGGCGCCGTGTGAAAACAAATTGTGTAAGGGGACTGGTGACAGGACATTTAAGTGAAGCATGGACATTTCAATTGAAGTACAGTGTGTTAGTCAAATGCTACCTGCTGGGCTGATTAGCAGTAACAGTATAATTCTGTAGCCTGTGTTATACAGGAAATCATAGTAGAAAAATGTATGGCCTTTCCTGGCTGTAGTGTAGGAATATATAAATGTCCTGTGCTTTGATATTCACTTTGTCTTAGGTTCTGGAATGACCAAGAGTCGTGTATGTGCTTTCATGGCACATCCATTTTCTTAAGTGCTTGGCAGAGCGAGAGGAGCAGTGATTGCAGGGAAGGAACCGATTGTTTTGTTAGTTTGTGTTGTGGTTTGTTTTTTTTTTTTTTTAACAGAGGTGATAGCTTTAGGATTAAAAGGCTCTTGAGGTTTTTGTTGGGCTTAGCCTCTCTGTGTTTTTGTTAAATAAACAAAGTGCGTATACCTAGACCTTCAAACAGAGGCTTTAGAAGTCCTACAATGTCTGGATGCCTGTCACTGCTGCCAAGATTATATAGTGAAAGGCAGGACTGTCAGCCATCACAGAAGTGCAGAATTTTAGCTTTTCTCTCTGCCTGCTCCTCTCATACTCCAGCTGGGTTTGTTTGCGTACCTGTCACATACTTGTATTTTTCAGTTTCACAATCCATGCAAACCCTAAATAATAGCTACATTCCCTTTTCAGATATCTTTATTAGCGTTCTCCCAACATGCCACAACCCAAAACCTCTGTTTTGTGAACGCCTTTTCAGCAGATCTACTCCGTGCTAGATTGGTTTTATTTTCTTACTTTTTGGGCACCAATCCACAAGGTCACTGCACTGTTGCTATTGAATAAAGAGTAGGACTTCAGGATCACTTCTGTCATACTTTAAAATACAGAAATTGTTATGTTGTTCTTCAACTTGCAGTACTCTGACAATCTCTATCACAAAAAGATGCAGTCAGTGAGCACTTCGTTGTTTCAGATAGGTCCTGTGCTTTGCAATAAGTACATGTGTGTGAATAACAGAGCAGGATTTGCCTGACATACTGACAGTTTTACAAGGGAAGGAAGACACACTGAGAATGTTATTGCATCATTTTAATTACAAGTCAGAGGGAACTCTGTGTTTCCTTCATTCTTACCTTTTAAGCTGTAGAAAAAGTCAAAGCCAAAACAAACAAGTTCATGTATGATGAGACATATATACCAAGAAACAACACAGTAGTTTCTCAGCTTTTTGAAGGCTAGGCTAGGCTAATATTTAAGCTTCAGTCCCATTGCTCTCAAGAAAAGCAACATATATGTGGATTACTGATTCTTTGCAAAGTCACCTTAACTTCACTGTGGTTCCAGGTTAATGTAGCACATTTTCCCCATGGCCCCCGTTGGGGTGGGGGGCATTTTTACTGCTAGTTTACTGGTAGGGAACTGTTGTGGGTGGGTCTTTTTAGTAGTACTATTTTCAGAGAATTGATCCATCTTTTTTAATCACAGTCATCACCAGTCAAACAAGAGCAGTTTGTTTCTACACTGGGATCAATAAAATGGAAAATGTATAAGCTTAGCCATTAGCTTTTCCTGGTTTGTCTCCTGTTTAAGGATAGGTTTTCCTACCGTTCGTATTCTATTGGTTGTATGTTAGGTCTGTGTGATCTGTGATCTGTAATCTGCACAGAAAATACATACTGCCTGCAGTACAAGAATAGCTTTTTTGTTTCAGTGTTTGCTGCCAATATAATGTGTTATATTGATCCAGTCTGGCTTCTCAAGTATTTTCCTGATGGTGATGAGAAAGACGGTATTATTCTTCACCAAAAGGAAAAGAGCTTAATTTTCATGCAAATCAATATTCAGCAGAATCGTAAAGCCCTAGCCCTGGTAATAAAAATAGAAGCTGATGCTATTAATACCTCATTCCAGATACACAGAGCACCATTATGTGGCTCCTGGGTTGAGTAAAACTTCATGTAATCACAGTGGCCATAGACTTGAGCCCTATAAAGTTGGAAACTTTACCAGATGGCCATTGCCAAGGCAGCTTCTAAAGACTCTATTGCTGCAGTGTGTTAGGGCTCTAGATATGACTTACTGAGTGGTAGCTTTTTAAAATACAATTACTGAACATAACTGATCCACATTATGGTAGTAATAATAATAATACTTTGCACTCAGTGACCTTTTATCTGAGGACCCAAAAGCTCTTAACCAAGGCTTTTAAATGCTTCCTTTCTGCTTATAGGAAATAAAGTGTTCAGAGGCTTGATGGAGTGTGAGAGAATTGAGCAACAGCAGTCCAACTCCATGGCCTATTGCAAGCAGTCAGGCGGTGCTCTCTGTGGGTCTGGGACTGGGACAGGAGAGCGCTCCTGTCCCTGTCCCTGTCCCTGTCCCTGACAGCTGGGAGATGATGTGCCAGTTGCTTGGGGTGGAACCTCCTACTTCAGTATTACTTTTAATCTTGAGTAGAGCCAGCCTGTGAATGGGATTGCTTGTACATTAAAATGCTGTGTGGCAGGAATGAGAACGATATACAATGGCCCTAACTTGAAATTTCCTTTATTCGCTCTGTAAACTGTGAGGATAATACTGAAACAATGTTAAGATCTGGGGATGAAAGATAATAAGGCTCAGATATGCCACACTTAGCTGAGGGGCTTAGATGTGGAGTGATATATCTTAGGCTCTGTATATTCAGGGCAGGCAGATAAGTACCTGCAAAGGCTGGCCTGTATTTTAGGGAGAATAGTTATGTCCTTTTTAAAAGTACCACATGTTGGCCATGAATTTACCAAGCTTTAATACTCAGCCTCAAAAATCACATAATGGTATTTATCGGTAATGGGAGTAAATAACTGTATTTGACATTTGCTTTTGTGTAGTCAGTAGTTATTTTTTCTTTTTTTTTCCCCAAAGTGATTCTATTGTTGCTTTTCAGGGTCTAGAGATCATGCCTGAAGGTTTTCTTGGTGACTGTTCTTGTTTTATCTTTTAGATCGATGTGATTGTGACTTTGGGCGGACTTGGAGGACGCTTTGACCAAATAATGGCATCAGTGGAAACGCTTTTTCATGCAGCAAATATCACTCCTTTTCCAGTGATAGTTATCCAGGAGTGCTCGCTGATTTGCCTGCTTCAACCTGTAAGTGTTGTGAAAAGTTACTTCATACTAAACCTGACCTTCCACCCACCCTTTTCTTAATTGTGTTCTGCAGGGTCAGAGCCTAAATATAAAATATATTGCAGGGAAGTGGACAGCGAATGATGGGCTCTGCATTCCTG